CAAATCACCTCCCTTTTATAGATGAAGGTAGCACACTAATTGAAGGTCCCTTTTCTCCACTATGCTGTAAGTGGACCGGTGAAATATTCAGAACTGACGGTATGGTAAGCAAAGCAGAAGTTTGTGGAAAAAATGGATGTAACTTTTATAAATTACAAGATATTCGGACAGTAGAAGATTATACCTAGAAAATTTAGAAAAACCAACATTGCTTATTGGACAAAATAACATCAATCGCATTTTAACTAGACAAATAATTCAGTCCATTGTAAATGGTCCAATTCTTTCAAAAACTTGTATTGGTTGGACATTTCATGGTAATCTTGGGAGTTTGGAAAATAAAACTGAAGAAATTGCAGTAATTTGTTGTTGCTGACGAAAAGTTACATGAATTGATGAAAAGTCACATGAAGTTAGAGAACTTTGGTGCACTACAATCCTTACAACAAAAAGTATCAAAAGAGGACCAACCTGCTATTGACATTGCCAAAAAATCAATAAAACTTGTAAACACTCAGTATGAATTTCCATGGAAAGAAGATGTTCAAGAACTACCAAATTCAAGAAAAATGGCCATGCAACGGCTACTTTGTTTAGAACGAAAATTATCAAAAGACGATAATTTAGCGAAACGTTACAGGCAAGAAATGGAGTTTTCGAAAAAGGTTATGCTGTTCCTGTTACGCCAGAAAAATGCAAAAATGTTCGTTACTTATGTTATTTGCCTCATTTTCACGTTATTCGACAACAACAGTTAAAGAAGCAGTAAACCAGATTGAGCAAGTTATTGAAATTCACGTAAAAGGTAGTTTCGAAATTCGAAATTTTACTTCCAATTCACCTGAAGTACTTGCGAATATCCCTGCACACTTATTAGTTGAACATAAATGAACAAAGAGTTCTTGGCATGATGTGGAACTCTCATACAGATAATTTTAATTTCAAGCTTAGATTTAATAAAATTCCTACTACTACTTGGTACTAGGATTCCGACAAAAGGACAAGTTCTCAAAACTGCTATGTCAATATATGATCCTCTAGGATTACTTTTACCAATAAGCATTAAAGTAAGAATTTTAAAACAACTAGAGAAGCGGTCTTGGTTGGGATGACACCATTGATTCAAATATGGTTCTTACCTGGAAAAATTGGTTAAACAATCTTAAAAATTCTATGCTGATTGGAATTCCAAAATGTTATTCAGAATCATTACAAAAAACAAAGTATTTGGAAATCCATACCTTCTATGATGCTAGCGAAGAAGCTTACGCCTCAGCAAGTTACCTTCGAATTGTATCAGATAATAAAGTTAACATTGTTCTTGTATTCTCAAAAGCTAGAGTAGCTCCACTAAAAACACTTACTATACCAAAACTTGAGTTAGTAGCTGCAGTAATGGGTGCTAGATTATCTCAACTTGTAGAAGAACAATTGGGCTTTGGAAATTAAAAACAAATATTTTTGGTCAGACTCGAGAACAGTCCTAAGATGGCTAGAAACAGAAAAAAAACCTCCGACTTTTATCGCCTCAAGCGTAGGAGAATTTTTAGAAACAACAAAAGTTAAAAAATGGAAATGGGTTCCCACTTTAGAAAATGTTTGCACAAGAAGTTCAAATAAAAATGACAAATACGAAAAATGGTTTAATGGTCCTAAGTTTTTATATTATTGAAAAACTAATTGGCCAAAAATAATACCAGAAATTCCAGAAGAAATAGCTACAGAAACTTATTCAGAAGTTATAGAATCACAACATTCTTGTGTAAATGAAACTTTACCTAAAATCAAAACATATTATTCTTGGATTTAATTAATGAAGGTAACCGGTATAATTAAATTATTTACTTTGAAAGTGAAGAAACAGAAACCAAAAGAAGATTTTTTTACATCAGAAGATTTTCTATGGGCTGAGAAACAGTGGTGGAAATCCGTTCAATATAAAGTCTGTTTTTTTTTTAAAGATATGTCCCAAGTCAAAAAGTTAGTAACTATGTTGGCAACACAAGCCTTTTCTACATAATAGTATATTATGCAATGATCATGTAATGATAGCCATTAATACACGAGCATGTTGTAGGATACGAAACGAGCCGCAGGCGAGTTTCGTATATAACATGCGAGTGTATTAATGGCCATTACATGAGAGTTGCATACACTATTTTTTCTACTGCCATTGATAAAACCTATGATATTTAGATATGTCAACATTATGCTTAACTTTGAATAGAGATTTCATAATTGAGTAATCCATACAGTTGAAGGTTTCATTTTTTGTTGTAATTCTTTAAAATATACTATCAAAACATTTTCTGAGAAGGATGATGTGTTTTTGGTGTTTTCAATCCATAAATTGTCCATATAATTCTTTGTAAATTTTCTTGGACTTGTCCGGTAGTATATTATTACCTACCTGCATTTGTCGCCCTTTCTGTAATTTCTGGAGGTGTTGGTGAAAATTCTTCGTTATCACTCAATATTTCCATAATAATTATTCTTTGTCCCAAACTTTAGGTTACTTTGAAACAATTCGGAGTGTTTCTTATAGTTATCAAAATAATTGTTTTATGCAAAATTACCGTTTAAAATGTTTAATATCTTAACTAGTGCTGCCATCTATCAACATTGTATGATAATAAAAATGAGTATTATAATGAAAATCTGTATCGTAATGAAGTTCATTATGATACAGATTTTAATCGTTTAATAGCGTATTATGAAATGTCAGTAGAAAAAAAATTTGAAAGCATTGACAATTTTACATTGTATTGCCAACATAATGTCATTTTGACTTTTTTCTACTGACATTTCATAATACGCTTAAAATCTGTTTCATAATGAACTTCATTATGATACAGATTTTCATTATGATACAGATTTTTCAGCCACTGGAATCGAGTATTTTGAACATGAAGAATGTTTATATAAAAATAACAGACTAGCTTTGGAATTTTGGATTGTTTTTATTAGTATTTACCATAAGAAACAACAAAAAATTAATAAATCGGGTGCGGAATTTATGCCCAAATGACGTCTAGATCTTAATTTTTGAAATTGTCAATAGTTGTCAACAATTCTCACCAGGGTCCTTATTCTTGAAACAGGGGAGCCGCGTTCCCAGGAGAACGAGTGTTCCGTCTTTCTCAATGATATGCAAATGATAATATAAGTAACAAAGACGACACACTCGTTTTCCTGGGAACGCTGCTCCCCTGTTTCAAGAATAAGGACCCAGTTGAGAAGTTTACTATTCTAGAAACAAATATGTAAGTATTTCGTTTATTAATGGAAGTAAAAAAAATAGTGTATGCAACTCTCATATAATAGCCATTAATACACGAGCATGTTGTAGGATACGAAACGAGCCGCAGGCGAGTTTCGTATATAGCATGATCATTGCATAATATACTATTATCTTTAAAAAAAAAACAGACTTTACCTGCTTTTCGACGGACCTTAAAAATATATCATCAAAGAATGGCAACAAAACTGGCAGACTGAATAAACTTTCGTTATTTTTGGATGAAGATGGAACATTAAGAGTATCTACAAGAATAATAAAACTGAACCGTAGGTACTGAAAATATTTTCCTTCCACAAGATCCAGTTATTCTTGATGGTTCACACCTGTATACTGAGAAGTTGGTTTTACATTTTCATGACAGAGTTGGTCACCAAGAGATTGAAACAGTAATAAATAATTTGAAAAGAAAATTTTACATTCCCAAAATACGCTCATCAGTCAAGAAAATGTTGAAAAAATGCATCACATGTAGACGTCGATATGCAAAAGCCGCTGAACCAAAAATGGAACTTCTGCCTAAAGAACGACTTATGTACCTACTATAAAAAACCATTTTCTGCAACTGGTATGGATTATTTTGCACCATTTGAAGTAAACATTGGTAGACGATTGAAAAAACGTTACGGAGTTCTCTTTACCTGCCTTACAGTGCGCTGTATCCATGTAGAACTTGCTCATTCGTTAAATACAGATTCTTGTATAATGGCAATTAGACTAGCTCGGAGAGGGACAGTGAAAGTATTTGTATCAGATAATGGGACTAATTTTGAAGCTGTCAATCGAGAACTTATGGAAGCAATTGAAGAATTGAATCTAGAAACAGTTGCCATAAATATGACTAATACAGGAATAGATTGGAAATTTAATTCGCTAATTGTACCTCACATGGGAAGTTCTTGGGAACGTAAGATTGGTTGTTTTACACGTTCTCTAACGGCTGTAATGAAAGATTGACAACCTACAGATGAAGTTTTAAGGACATTATTCACTGAATATGAATATATTGTGAATAGCAGACCATTACCTCACGTGTCTGAAAATATTGATGATACTTTATAAATGAAATGTGGTGTCTATCTGTGATAAGATATCGTTGGTTAACATTCGCTTGAAAGCTCTTCAGTAATACATTTGACACTATATCACTTTTTGAATGGTATAATGTTCGATTTGTATTGTCTACATTTGTTCTGCAACAATACAATCTGGCTACACTGAAACCCACTATAGTTGCGCGCGCATGGCATCTTTTATCACATTTTCTAATTTGTATTTATTACAATTAAGCTATCTTTTTCTATTTATACAAGACAGGTCAATTGTCAGAACCTGGTGTAAGATACGAAAAATCGGCAAAAAACGCACGCCAATAATAATTCATTTGTAATACAGGGTGTCCATCTACAAAGTATCACATTTAAACGGGTTATTATTACACGAAATCGAGAAAAAATGTTGGGATGCTGTTTTCACTTTTTATATTTGCGTCAAGTTTTTATTTAAGTTGTTGCCGTTTTTTTTTCGAAAATTCTAACGGTAGGCCATACAGATAGGTCGATCAATAAGTACCACATACTAGTTCAAGCATGGGGCTATCTCTATTATTTCAAGCCCTTCCTAAGCAATACTCAGTAGACTAAGAAAACTGCCTTTAACCAAATTTAAAAAACTAAAAATATTTCCATTTTCTTCCTTTCAGCGATCAGAGAAGAAGTCATCGTCGATTCACCTAACGTAGCAATGAAAATTACCGACAGAAACGGCGAAGACATGATGCAAACCGCTGAAGTAGGCGATCCTTTGGCACTCAAATTCGAAATCCTCGACAGAAACAGCCCCTACGAAATCTTTGTCAGAGAATTAGTGGCAATGGACGGAGTAGACTCTAGCGAAATCATTCTAATTGACTCTGACGGTTGCCCCACAGACCATTTCATTATGGGACCTATCTACAAAAGCGCCCAATCTGGAAAGGTAACTTATAAACATAAAAAATCCAATTATCCATTAATAAAAACAAATTATTTAGGTCCTATTATCACACTTTGACGCCTTCAAATTCCCTTCATCCGAAGTTGTCCAATTCAGAGCCTTGGTCACCCCGTGTATGCCGTCTTGCGAGCCAGTCCAGTGCGATCAAGAAGAATCGACCGGTGAATTACGTTCGGTAATTTCTTATGGCAAACGCAGAAGGAGGCGTTCCACAGGACAATCCCAAGAGGACCTCTTGTTAGTCCAATCGATTCAAATCACGGACAAATTCGGCTTTGACAAGGACGCCAACAAAACTCATCTTGGAAGCGAAGCTGTTTTCATCACCAACGACGGCGGTAATGGATTATGTATCAACGCTGCAGGACTCATGTTGGCTGCCATTCTATTTCTAGCAGTTCAAATGTCCATAATTGCAGCCTGGACATTTGTCTGGCAACGAAGAAAACTGAACGACAAATTATATCAGGAAACTATGAGCATTCCGTCGCAGTTGAGCGTTAGCCGTACCGATAGCCTTTGCAAACTTTACGAAAACAGCTACACGCATTCGCGTAGATTTTAAAGCCTTTAAATTTTAAGCATTCTGTGTATAAAACTTAAATAATTTTGATGACGCGCCAATTTTCTTACCTGCCAATCATGAAACGTTGTTAGAAAAAATACAGTTTTTTTTTTAGGCTTTAGGTTTAAGCTTCTCAGCTTTCCAGTTACTATGGACCAGTGCAATAATAATAAATCCTTCGGTTAGAAATAAGATATTGCACTGGAAAGCACAAGAAGTAGTTTAATTTATATAAAAAAGTGTGATTATTTTCTGAGCTTGCGCGATAGACTTCAATAATTATTAGATAATCTTGCAAGGATAGCGCAATAAAATTAGTGCGTTCCATGCAAGCCAGAAGTCTCGACGCGACCCTTATTAATTTAAATTTAAGTTTAAGAAATAGTGCTACTTAATGCTGCTTTTTTCTTAATTTAATGGACAGGACACGACGCAATACTTTAATAGTAAATAAATAAAATAATGTGGGACAACTGAATGGAATACTCATAGGTTTATTACATTTCATTTTGTCGCGATAATACTCTATAGTGCCATACGTCCTTTTAAAAAGGGCAAAGGCCAAGTAATAATTTTACAGAAAAAAAATACACCGGCTGCACCAAATTCACATTTTTGTCCCACATTAATTATTATTGATTATTTTGTTAGTTTATATTTTTTTCTGTTCTACATGTAGAATGAACAGAGCTTTAAGATGACAGGATCTTTAAGGTTCACAGGACGATCTAGTATGGATCTTAGAATGAATGTTTCAATTATCGTAGTTGATTGGTTATTTATGAGAGCTTGTCCTTTGAACTGATTCGATCGATACAACTTAGTTTTTTCCAATTATCAATGAAGAATTTAAGTTAACGTCGTCTAAAATAATTAAAGACAATACCATAGCAATTACTTGAATATAATTTAAGACAATTTTTTTTTAGAAATAATTCTATATTTATTTTTTAAGTTATATTTTTCCTTTAAAATATGTCGACATATTTTTGTAATCGACATGAAATCTTAAAGCATAATTAATATACTCATTAAAAATTGACATTTTGTGGTTTTATTTTTTCCTTAGTTAGGAAAATGAACTATTGCTAAGAAACAGACCATGGCAATATTGCTAAGAATTGAGATGGCATTTTAATTTAATCAAAAACGGTGGAAAACCTATCAAGAAAGTGTCAAGACAACTAATAGTCCAAGAGCCTAAAGCCGCCAGACACAACTTATTTTCTAAAAGACAGAATATGTGGGCTTGTGTAGCACTTATATGTACTATGAACGTATGTATACCCGCTAAGCTGGGTAGACAGCCAATTTACCGACACAAGGTGCGAAAGCTGAGAAAAACTTTAACTTTTTTTCTAACGCTTGGTTTTTATATATATTATTGGGGAGACTATTTCATAACTACGTGTGCTCAGCCAGACCAATCGCACCGGCGAAATATCCCCCAAGACGCAATAATAATTTTTCCGGGAGTGTGAGCGCGAGGATACTATGCATGCGTTTGAGAGTAAGCGAGATATCTATGTCAACTGATTTCCCCCTCTTAAACTTACAGTCTACTCCAGGCTAGAGTAGAGATGGGAAAAACCGTTATTTACAAATAACAGTTTCAGCTGTTACTATTGGCCGTCTATCCAACTTAGCGTTCATAATACCTATAAGTGCTACTCAATCCCACATATTCTGTCTTTTAGAAAATAAGTTGTGTCTCTGGACTCTTGGACTATAACTAATGTTAGAAATGATAGGGATATTAATTGTATCTGTAAGTTTGGGACGGTGGGTATGCCACAGTAGGCCCATTGTGCGCCTTCCCAAGAGAAGAGGTCATCCTTAGCTCGTCATCCGGCCTAGAGATTTAACGTAGGAGATGACGTCGATGGGTAGGTACGATTGGCCTAATTTGGCTCTGCGTATTGGCGAAAGAGCAGTACAGTCAAAAATAATGTGCTCTATCGTCTCTCGTGATGCGAAGATGCAACCTGAATGAATTAGTCCAAGAGCCGGCGATACTAACGAGTATGTGATCGTTGCAATGGATAATTTCTACATAAAACAATAGTTTATAGTAACCTTTAAACCTAATGTATGGGTTGCCTCGATTCTCATGGCCGTAAAGTTGTTTTATAAAAAGATACTTCAAGAACCATAAGCGCAACAAATAAGAAGTACCTTGCGGTGTAGGGGGTTCTCATCATATGCGGCAAACACTTTATTAATACAATTTCATGTTTCCTTTTTTGTCTAAAGACCTACAGCTGTATGCAAAATCCTCTTCACAGAGTCCTCTTTTAACTTTGAAAGTGATTTTGAAGGCTGTCACTTTCAAAAATTTGTCTTTAGCAAGCAAAATAACGCGTGCCCTCAAGTTTCAATGAGGGTTGCCATCATTTCCGGCCATCAAAATCGAGGCCACCCTATATATTATTTGAGAAGACATATTAAAGAATATATCTACCAATTTTCAGCTATTGCAACGATAACATTGTTCCTTCGGAAAAAGAAGGGTAGTTTACGCCCAGCCATCAAAGGGTTGCGGCCATGAGAATCGAGGCCACCCATCCATTTAGTTTAAAGGTAACTATGAGCTATTCTTTTATGTGAAAATTATCCATTGCAACGATCACATACCCGTTAATATTGCCGGCTCTCCTACTAAATGTTTGTTTAACTGGCAATGGCCAATCAAGTTGCCCGATATTAGGCATAGCCTTTTTCTGGTCACCGACACCAGCTGACTCGCTGGAGTTGTATTTGTGTAGCTTAGCTGTTCCTTGAATAAGTTGCAGCTAATCGTATCGTCCCAAAGCTTTATTGTACTAGTTCTGACGTGAGACGTGGTCTAAATAGAGCTAGTACTGCTTGTCTGCAGTCCGTGTGCACGATCTTGTCAGTGATATTGTTAATGACTATATGCGATGGTTATTTCCAGTAATTTCCGTTTGGAGTACATTTGACATGGGGCCAAAGGCTTTAATTAGTATCAGTTCAAAGGCTTTAGAATATACTCCGCATCCCGAGCCTGTTTCAGTTTTGGATCCATCAGTAGACGTTACTTACCCCTGACACTAAGTTGTTGAATTTGCTGTTTGCGACGTGCCTGAACCTCATGTACTTCGCTGGTCGGGTGCGTTTCAGTTCCTTTCAACATCGCCAGGCTCTGTGCAGCGATCTCGTAAGTAAGACACATATCTTTAGTTTTCTTGAATGTCAATTTATCTTCTGACAGCAGTTTCCTTTGCAGCATTTCGTCGGTAACTCCGCATACTATTCGGTCACGCAACAACACAGACACAATACACCACACTCCTCCCCTTGGATATTTTTTACGTAGCATACTCTTCTAGGTATTTTGGGGGCCGCGTGATCCGCACAGAGGGTGGCGTATGAACAATTGGCACCCTCACATCAGAGATTTCTGGTTCCATCTGTGCTAAAGTCTCTGTAGTTAGCTCTAGAGAACTCGCCATTACTAAGAAAGTCTGATTTCAACCCGTCCGAAACTCGGGGTCAGAATGTCTTCGCATGATTTTTCCTTCAGGTGTTTGGACCCTGTAGCTCAGCGGACCTGTAGTTTCGATAATCGTTGATGGCAACCATTTCTGGATTACTATCATTGAAAAACCTGGTTTTTTCCCTTGTTCTGTACGTTGCTTGTCTTCTTGTTTAGTCATCATCTCCCTCCGAAAATCTGGTTGTAATTTATCAAGTAGAGTAGATAATCTACGGCACATTAGCATTTCTGCTGGAGATCTACCTGTGAAACTATGCGGAGTTAAGTGTTGACTCAATAAATATCGGGATAGGGCCAGTTGTACATTGGTACTAATCAATTTTAACATTCTGTACCATCGTTTCTGCCTGACCATTACTACTGGGATGGTAAGGTCCTACTAGAGCTTGTCTAATTTGTTTTTTTTAAGGAATTCTTGAAATTCTACAGAAGTAAACACGCTGTTCCATTATCCGAAACAACGACATCCGGTATACCATGTGTGGCAAAACATTCCCGCAGCACTGTAATCGTCGATGCACTGGAGGTACTAGGTACTAGCCTTAGTTGCAACCACTTTGAGAAGGCATCGATCACAATTAAGAAAATATTTTCGTTCATTGGGCCGGCAAAATCAAGATGTATTCGAGTCCCCGGGCCCCGTGCTCATTCCCAAGGGCGATTTTTTAGGCATGGTTCTTGACTCCTGACACTCAGCACACCTATTCACTAAATCCTACATTTGCTTGTCCATGCTAGACCACCAGACGTATGACCGTGCCTTCATTTTCACTATGCCAGGATGAGCAGTGTGAAGTATTTTGAGCACTCTCTCTCTTCCCCCTGGTGGAATTATAACTCTAGTGCCCCACAATAAGCAAGCCTAATAGTAGATTATTTCATTTTTTTTGTTGCAAAAAAGGTGTATACTCTGGCGTAAATCCATTCTGGTTTTCTGGCCAACCTTTTCATGCCCACTGTAAAACCCTTTCCTTTTTTTCTAGGGTAATGTCTTTAGCGCAGAAACTTTTTTCTGTGATGTTTTCTAGCATCAGGACCTCATCTGCCGCTGGGGCGTCTGGAGTAATAATATTTAGAGGTAGTCTGCTCAGAGCATCTGTACACTCAGTTCCGATCGAGCATTGATTCGAGAAGGTTGCGCGTCGCGTCTAGTAATCTGCTAGAAGCATTTTCGAGTGAAAAAGTAGTGGAAGTGAATTGTGATAGTGGGGAAAACCAAGGAAAAAACAATAGATAAAGGGGTTCGCCCCGATATCGTCAAGATGGTTAAAAACCGAGTGGCTGATAGTGATAAAGATATAAAAATAGGCAAATTGAGGAGAAAATTAACTGCAGCAAATGAGGACAACAGTAAACTGAGAGAAGAGCTAAAAATGATGAAAACTCAGCTTGAAGAGCTGAAATTGGCTTTTATAGAAATGAAGCAACAACAAAAACAGAATGAGGAAAATTTGACAACTAAAATGTCAAAGGCTACAAATGTCAAAAGACAATTGAGAGACGAAGAATGGCCTGAGCCTAGTACCTCCAAAAAGAGAGTTGTTCGTACCGTGGAAAGCACCAAGACTCCTGGGGCCGTATTCTCGTCACCGGGGAACAGCGGTCTCTCAAGAGAACGATTGCTCTGTCTTAGTCTCCCATGTTGTTATTTCCATAATACTGACAAAGACAGAGCAATCGTTCTCTTGAGAGAACGCTGCTCCTCGGTTACGAGAATACGGGCCCTGGTGGACCCTCTGAGGATATTATCCGCGATGATGACATTCAGGATATGGACTTTGAAGAGCCCAAATCTTACGCGGCAAAAGCCAAACAAATACCTCCAGTAATTGTCAGTGGAAGTAAGGACTGGATCCTCCTCAGAAACGAATTGAAGATAAATAATATAGCCTTTGATAAGGCTAAGAAAATTGGAGAGGACATCAAGATTTTTGTAAATACTTCAGACGAACGCAGGCATCTAACAAACTTCCTAAATCTTACTAGCAGACATTTTTATACTTATAAGCTAGAATCAGAGAAAAAACTACATGTTGTTCTTAGAGGCTTGGATGCTGAAACTCCAATAGAGTGTATTAGAGACGAACTTGAGCAAAATGGATGTGAGGATTTGGAGGTAATCCAGATGAAATCAAATAAGGGAGAGAAGGAAGAACCACTCCCTTATTCTGAGTGAAAACCTCAACACAAAAAGTCTGGGATACAACTCGATTAATCGATATGGTTGTCAAAACTGAACCGAAAAGAAAATCTTCGGCTCCTTCTCAATGCTTCCGTTGCCAAAGGTACGGACACACACAATCCAGCTGTACGATGCCTGAAAGATGCATCAAATGTGCCAAAAATCAGGCCTCCAGGGACTGCACACTTCAGAAGCCAACTAATAAAGATGAAAGAAACGCTACTTGTGCTAATTGTGGACTATCTGGACACCCTGCCAGTTACAGGGGATGTCCAAAATATGTGCAGTGGTTCCAGGCTAGAAAGCCTAAACAAATTAGTGTCCAAGCAAATCTCTTAATGAGTGACAATTCTAAAAATGTGAGAGACAATTCTACTAGTGACAGTAATAAAAACAATGAAGCTGCTGACTTATTAAAGTTATCAATGCCAGCCATCCTGCAGGCTGTTGATGCCTATTTGGATAAAAAGCGTTAATGTTTCACATTGCTTCATGGAATGTCAATGGA